GTTTGCACATTAATTTGTGTCGGTTAACAAGTACAACACTTCACGACACCACTCTTTGTCCATTCCTCCTTTCCACAAATTGCAGTTTGAAAGCATAAAAAGAAAATTAATCTACACAAGCACAACTATAATTGACAGGAAATTTTCGAAGAAATGAGGCAAGTATATTCCTTTTCATATGCCTACAAAATCCACTATAATTAAATAATAGCCCACTTATCTTTTTTAATTCAGTCTATCCTAGCCATCCAAATCAGAGTTTTTTCTCTTCTACCCACTGAAATCCTACCATATTTTCTATATAAAAAATATATAATCCTACCATATAATATTTATTAGCCCAAAAATTCCTAGTTATAAAAGATCTCTCAAAATAAAAAAATTTAGCCCACCTCTAGAAATATTCTTGCGTCTGCCAGTGCTATTAAGTCTCCAAACCCACAAAAATAAACATGAAGGAAAACTCAAATTATCAATTTCTTTCTAATCAACAAGATTAGGAACAAATAGCTAACCGAAAAATAGGGAAGTAATTGAAGCTAGGATCGTGTTTGATGAATCGAAAATCTGAATGTTTTCACAAATTACACATTTATGTACTTGAAAACGACAAAAGAAAAATAATAATTAAAGAAGACTTGAATTTTATTTTATTTTAGGACAATATGTTTTGTAATTCGTAATATTTACGGCAATAATAATGAACTGGGCATATATGTGGACTTTACTATGAACTCAACTGCATTTCCTTTTGTGAGTGACTCTTAAGTCAAGTAGCTAGTAAACTGCATTATCTTTTCATTCATTTATATTTTGTGGTACCTAGAAAAGAGTAGGAAACACTTGAATTCTCTATTACCAGACATATCAGACAGACAATCATGACAGCTCTACACATACAATTTCCACACACGTTACCAAAAGAAAAGTACCCTTCAATTTGTTTCCATCGTGAAGACTAAGTTGCGAAGAAATTTTTTGTTTGAGAATCTTTTACTTTTCAATTTCGTCATTTTCTTCTCATCACATATGTTGAGTTGGACATCTTGGCAAACAACAACTTGGAAACAGAGAAGAAAGAGAGGAATGCATGATAATATGCAATATGATTCTGCAAAAGCATTTTTTCTTGGTAATTTTATCCACACAAGATAACAGAAATCCCTATGCCCTACGTAAACGATTAGTAGAATTGATTGCTTAGGTTTAGTTTTTCCACACAGCTCAATCATAACATAAATCCTTGCCAACAATTGATTCCCTTCATGGCCTATCGACATGGCCTTGTCTTTTTCAATTACTGATTAATTTTTCTTCATTTTGACTGATATTTTGTAATTTGAATTTTGACTATATCATTACTAGAACTTATTATTTTTGCAATAATATTGTCAACTATGGCAGGCTACTAGAAGGCTATCTCTACACCTTCTTTATATTTATTCTGCGGAAGATTGGGAGTTGAAAATCATTGGCTTTGCTAGCTAACTCCAAGCTTCCTACTAGAAGCTGCAGATATAGGTAAAAAATAGAGGAAGGCAAAGCAGAATGGTTGTCCAGTTGCTTTCCCATATTACTCTGTTTACTCTGCTGTGGTGGTCTATGAGTAATCCAGTCCTAGCACAACCACCCATATCAAAGCCTAACTGTCAATCGAATTGCGGCGGCATTGAAATCCCATATCCTTTTGGAATTGGAACAGGTTGTTACATTAATGACGACTGGTTTCGAATAATGTGTGACAACTCTACTGGAAATCCAAAACCTTTCTTGAACCGTACCAATCTGGAGGTGTTAGAAATTTCAGTGGAAGAAGGCACATTAAAGGTCAGAAACCCAATCACCTTCTCTAATTGCAGCAACAAGCCGATCAGCAGCCAAACAGCCAACTTGGAGGGAACCCCTTTTGCATACTCCCAGAAGAACATATTCACTGCAGTAGGTTGTGGTGTTATGGCCATGATCACTTCAAACTCAAGTGGCTACACCATTTCAAGTGGATGCAGTTCCCAATGTAACATTTCAACAAATAGGAGTGATACCTGCCAGGCAGCCCTCCCTTCATCTCTCTCTGCCTTCAATACCAGTTTCCAGGATTATGGAAATTATAGGACACAGAGTTCATGCCACTACGCATTCTTGGCAGACCGTGATTGGTTTGGCAATAATTCCACAAACTTTTCTGCCATCAGAGAAATGGATTATGTTCCGGTGGTGCTACAATGGAGCTTATTTCACTCCACAACCGATGTGTTTGGAAGCTATTTTAGACCAAATTTCACAATTAGATCTTCTGGCCCAGGCCGGGCTTATTGTCTAAGCTACAATGACAGCTCTTCCATAAATGAATCCTCGAGGCTTGACTGTTCCTGCGCAGGAGGCTATAAAGGAAATCCCTATCTTCTTGACGGATGTCTAGGTAAACCTCTAACACCATTGTACATGCTTTATAGAAATAATCTCTAATGGCAGTTGATTTTACCATCAATTTAAATTTGTTTCAATACGTATTAATCCAGACATCAATGAATGTGAGCTTCCCGGCGGGGACTGTTTTGAACCTTTCATATGTGTGAATTCGAATGGGGGCTACGGATGCTACCAGCCGAAGAGCAACTCGCAGGTTAAAGTCATCTTTATAGGTATGCCCCTGCACCACAAAGTCTACACCCTCTGATATAAAAATGCATAATCTAGAATTGCCAAGATGATTTGGATTAATAAAAGAGCAACCATATAACAATTCCCAGAAGCGTAATGAAACTCAACATAATCTAGAGATTGAGATCTTAGCATCTCCTCCACTAGTTCTCCTTCAGAAAATAAAAAGTAAAATAGTATTGGTTATTTATGTAATAGCAAACAATATCTACTTGACCAAGTTATCCTTTCTTATTTTGTTGAGTTGTTCAGGTATCGGCAGCGGTCTTGGATTCTTGTTTCTGCTCATTGCTTCCTGGTGGTTGTACAAAGTCATAAAGAAAAGAAAAGCCATTAAACAGAAGGCGAAGTTATTTAAACAAAATGGTGGTTTACTGCTGGAGCAACAATTGTCTTCTGGTGAAGTAAATGTTGAGAAGATTAAGTTGTTCAATTCAAAGGAGTTAGAGACAGCCACAGACCATTTTAATGTAGATAGAATTCTTGGCCAGGGAGGCCAAGGTACTGTTTACAAAGGAATGTTGACGGATGGAAGAATTGTTGCTGTAAAGAAGTCTAAAGTAGTTGATGGAGGTGAAGTTGCACAGTTCATTAATGAAATTGTCATTCTTTCACAAATTAACCACAGGAATGTGGTTAAGCTCATGGGTTGCTGCTTGGAGACCGAAGTTCCTCTTTTGGTTTATGAATTCATTCCCAAAGGGACTATCTACCAGTACCTCCATCAACAAAATGAGGAGTTTCTACTTACATGGAAAATGCGCTTAAGGATTGCGGCTGAAGTTGCAGGAGCTCTTTCGTACTTACACTCAGCTGCGGGTTTTCCAATTTACCACAGGGACATCAAGTCTACAAACATACTCTTAGATGAAAAGTACAGAGCAAAAGTTGCAGATTTTGGGACTTCAAGATCAGTTTCCATTGATCAAACACACCTTACCACAATAGTACATGGAACATTCGGTTACTTGGACCCAGAGTACTTCCAATCAAGTCAATTTACAGATAAGAGCGATGTGTATAGCTTTGGAGTTGTTCTTGTTGAGCTCTTGACTGGAGAAAAGCCGGTTTCTTTAGCGAGGTCATCAGAAGCCAGAGGCCTAGTTACATATTTCAATTTTTCAATGGAGGAGAACCGTCTGTTTGATATTGTTGATGCTCGAGTTAAGGAGGAGGGTGTAACGGAAGACATTTTGGCAGTTGCTACCCTTGCAAAGAGATGCTTGGAGTTAAGTGGAAAGAGACGACCTGGGATGAAAGAAGTGGCAATGGAGTTGGAGGGGATTCAAAAATCAGTTCAGGCTTCTAAGCTGCAACACAAGCAGGAAGAGGTTGAATATGTCCGAAATGAAGTAACTGGTGACTGTCCTTGGGATGTTGCATCTGAATCAACAGGATCAGGTTTGGAGGGTGTTATTTCTTCATCAAAAGATTCATTGCCACTATTATCTTTGTAATCACGATGAACAAGAATCCTCCATGCAATCAGGCTTCTTAGCATATGTTAATTGGAGATTTTCCGGTGTGTTTTTTGAAACAAGAATTTATCTTGAGATTTTCTATTTTCTTAAAATGATTTTGTACAATGATTTCCCGGTAATAATTTTATGTGTTTTGATTTTGAGGTTTTAATTTTCTGTGCAATTTCCACCACCTATTTGGTCGAAACAATTTTGTCACGTGGCCCTTAAAAAAACATTATCTTCTACTTCGGCAGCCTAATTATTCACATGGAACTTTCAAGTACACTTGGCGAATAATTTTCAAAGTTACAGAGGAAGCAGCAGGCTCCAAAGATGACCGGTACACTTGCTCATATAAACCTTTTCTTATCTTCCTTGAAAGTTCAACGCATCATCAAAATAGTTTAGCACTAAGATTTAATATAAGCTTTTAGGAACAGGCACAAGTTTGGCCAAAGAATTACAGAATAAGATCTAGTTTTCTATATGCTTCAGCATCCTTCTAAATATTGCTTCAGCATTGTCATATCGGCCTCATTTTCTATATGCTTCCATAAGCTGCTATAAGCATCAGGAAATCCATTTGCTGAAGACCCACCAATTCTGAGTTTGGAACCATTCAAGAATCTAGAATATAAATTTTGACTTAGCCTCCAAGTAATAAGAAGAATTGACAATTCTTCCTTGAATATTATTATAAATTAATGTAGAGAAGGAAAGTGGACATAACTCTCTGAACACAATATATAAAAGAATTTTTCTTTTAGTTCTATTCTTAAAAAGCCTGAGACTTGAAAATCATTTTCTTTTCTAGCTATAACTCTCTAAGCCTCCTACTAGTCAGAATATAGGAAATTATAAGAAAAAAGCAGAGCAATGGATTTTGTCCTGTTTCTATATCATTTCACTCTGTTCCTGTGGTGTATGAATAGTGCAATGCTAGCAGCACCATCCGAAGCAGTACCCTTATTAGCAAAGCCTAATTGTCAATCGCGCTGCGGCGACGTGGAGATCCCATACCCTTTTGGAATTGGAGCAGGTTGCTACATTGATGACTGGTTTCAAATAACATGTTTCAACTCAACCAAACCGTTCTTGAACATCATCAATCTAGAGGTGCTGGAAATTTCTGTTAAAGGTACACTAAATGTAGCAAACCCAATTACCTTCTCATCCAACTGCAATACTAACAAGCCAAATCTCCAAGCGGCCAACTTGGAGGGAAGCCCTTTTGTGTTCTCCCAGAAGAACATATTCACCGCAATGGGTTGCGGCATTATGGCCACGATCACCTCAGACTCAAATGGCTCTACCATTTCAGCCGGTTGCAGGCCCGAATGTGACAACTTTTCAACAAATGAGAAAAAGAATGGTGTTCATTTCTGCCAGACCCCCATCCCTTGGTTCCTCTCTGCCTTCAATACTAGTTTCCAGGTTCATGATGACCACCGTACAAAAGATAGTTTATGCACATATGCATTTTTGGTAGACAATAGCTGGTTCAAATGGCTTGCCAACAATTCAACAAACAATTTTTCTACCATCAGCCATATGGAACATGTTCCTGTGATGCTAGAATGGAGCTTATACCATTCAACGATCGATGTATTTGGAGCCGTTGTAGAAGTAAATCCCATAGCCGTGTATTCTGCATCCTCCTTCTATTGCAGAAGTTTTAATGGCAGCTCTTCAGTATATAAATCCTCAAGCAGGCTTGAATGTTACTGCAACTGGGGCTATGAGGGAAATCCATATCTTCTACAAGGATGTCAAGGTAAATAACCTTAGCACAACATGACACATTTGGTTACTTGGAATTATTTCTAAATTGTTTTATAATCATAAACAAACACTTTCTTTAAATTTTTTACTTTTATTTTTTGTTTTATACCACATGAATATATTTTTTTCTTCATTAAATAATATTCCAGACAAAAATGAGTGCGAGATTGGGAACCATTGTCCTGCAGACTCCGTATGTAAGAATCATGCTGGGTATTATGAATGCCACTCCCCACATAGCAAGTCCTGGGTTAAAGTGCTCCTTATAGGTATGCCTCCCTTACAATATGTACAATCTATTTTTATTTTATTAAAGAAACCCATACTATTAAATTTCTTTATTTATTTATTTATTTATATGAAGTGGAGGAGCAAGCACTGTTAAATTTCTTTGACACTTACTAATCACTTATATTTTTACATAATACATGTATTAGAGATTGTCTCTGCACGAAGAATGAACAGACATGTAGAGAAGATCTTACTTATAATCAGTTTTATTCAACTTTAACAAGATTGATTATTTGTGATATAGAATGGTCTTTTAAAGCTTCGATTTTAGATTTTAAATATCAAATCTGAGACGTAAAACCTAAAATTGAAGCAACCATAAAGTTTAAGCTCTAAATAGTGATTCTATACCATATACAATCAATCATGTTAACAAATAGATTAACACTTAAGAACGTTGTGTTGAAATGAGGTTTTTTTATTTTTATTTTATTTATTTTATATGAAATGGAATGGGTTTTCTCAACGAAATGTTCTGTCTATAGAATAATTAATCTAAAACAAAAATAAAAATCCTTTCTTATTGTATTGAGCAATATATTCAGGTACCGGCAGTGGTGTGGGGCTATTGTTTCTACTCATTGGTGCATGGTGGTTGCACAAAGTCATAAACATGAAACTCAAGGAGAAGTTGATTAAACAAAATGGTGGTTTATTCTTGGAGCTACAATATTTATCTTCTGGTGAAGAAGATAATGATTTCGAAAATATTGAAGATATGAAAATGTCAAATTTTTAAGACGGTGGACGTAGTATGCGCTTGGATGATCTCGCACCCCTTCCATCCTTGTGTAGGGTTTTACTTTGTTGGGTTCTGCTGCGTTTATTTGAGCCTTTCCTTGTTTTGGGTTCTGTAATATTTTACACTTGGGCCTTAATGTAGGCTTTGTTTTGTATATTTAGATCAGCTAACAGGCACTACTAGAAAACTGTGGTAAAAGCACGAATTTCATTTGTGCTTTTTATGTCGAAGAACACGAATAATTGTGCTCTATAAAAATACCCGGTGCAGCCACTATGAAGTTGTCGGTCTCCTATATAGGAGTTTCCACTAGTTATAGAGCACAAATTCACTGTCAAACATTTAAAACACAAATGCTATATTTTGACAAATGACTGAGATGGTAACTAGCCCCACCTGTACTCCATACCTCTTTATCAGCAGCTCTTCGACAATATTTAAATAATATTTTTCAGGGTTAAAAAAGCTTCAACTATTCCCGCAATGAAGTGACAACTCTATGATGATATGATAATTGGCCACGAAATTTGTGCCTAAACTATTTAGGCACAATTATTTCCTTCTTCTGTTGGCATTGGATACAAAACAATTGTCTTCCTGTATATTACACAAATACTACATATATGTGTCAAATGTGATTCAAAAGGACATGAACCTCTTTTTTGTGCTCTTTGGATCGTGCTTTTAGCCTAGTTTTTTTAGTAATGAGGTGTAGATAGATTGTGCAAAAATATGGTCCTATACTTTTGTAATGTCTGGCTTTTTTCCCAATGAAATTTCATCAGTTTTATTTTCCTATCTGATTTCAATAGTTCTTTCATGCAATAATCTTTGTTTGGTATGCTAAGAAAGAAATCCTGCACTCTGATATTTTTTTGGTAATAATTACTAGTCTTGAAGAGCTCAGAGCTTTTTCTGCTCCAGTCTTTCTCAATTGCTGATTAATTTTTCTTCATTTTGACTGATATTTTGTAATTTGAATTTTGACTGATATTTTGTAATTTGAATTTTGACTATATCATTACTAGAACTTGTTATTTTTGCAATATTGTCAAGTATGCCAGGCTACTAGAAGGCAAGTAGAAACAACAATATTCAAAACAGTTATTGTGAAGTAGAGAAAATAAGAAACAGCATTGACATTGTAATGAATGCTACTCGCCCGTTATATTATTGTGACCTCTTCCAAGTTTGATTGAGATTGACTGGTTCATCAAAATCAAATCAAAGGATGAGTACAGGTTTATAAAAGAAATATTTTTTAAAGCAGGAAAGAAAGAAAAAAGGTTTGGCATTCTAGAATGCCATATAAATTTTAATTGCTTCAATAAATTTTTCAACATATATAAAATAGATTTCAAAGAGACAAGTCAGACCAAGTACCATACCGTTCCCTTTGATCTGGTAAGAAATGAAGAGAGCCAAGCACAAGGAAAGTGCAGAGAACCAACTGCTATCTCTACTCCTTCTTTATATTTATTCTGCGGAAGATTGGGAGTTGAAAATCATTGGCTTTGCTAGCTAACTCCAAGCTTCCTACTAGAAACTGCAGATATAGGTAAAAAATAGAGGAAGAAAAAGTAGAATGGTTGTCATGTTGCTTTCCCATATTACTCTGTTTACCCTGTTCTGGTGGTCTATGAGTAGTCCAGTACTAGCACAACCACCCATATCAAGGCCTAACTGTCAATCGAATTGCGGCGGCATTGAAATCCCATATCCTTTTGGAATTGGAACAGGTTGTTACATTAATGACGGCTGGTTCCAAATAATGTGTGACAACTCTACTGGAAATCCTAAACCTTTCTTGAACCGTAACAATCTGGAGGTGCTAGAAATTTCAGCGGAAGAAGGCACATTAAAGGTCAGAAACCCAATCACCTTCTCTAATTGCAGCAATAAGCCAATCAGCCGCCCAACAGCCAACTTGGAGGGAACCCCTTTTGCATATTCCCAGAAGAACATATTCACTGCAGTGGGTTGTGGTGTTAGGGCCTTGATCACCTCAAACTCAAATGGAGACACCATTTCAAGTGGATGCAAGTCCGAATGCAGCATTTCGACAAATAATAGTAGCGGACGTAATAGCTGCCAGACAGCCCTCCCTTCATTTCTCTTTGACTTCAATACCAGTTTCCAGGATTTTGAAAATCAAACAAGGAGTTCATGCAATTACGCATTCTTGGCCGACCGTGATTGGTTTGCCAACAATTCAACAAACTTTTCTGCCATCAGAGAAATGGACAATGTTCCGGTGGTGCTAGAATGGAGCTTATTTCACTCCACAACCGATGTGTATGGAACCTTTTTGGAAGTAAATGCAACGATGATCTCATTCCGGCCTTTTTGTGACACCTACAATGACAGCTATTCCATAAATGAATCCTTAAGGCTTAAATGTTCCTGCGGAGGAGGCTATGAAGGAAATCCCTATCTTCTTGAAGGATGTCAAGGTAAACCTCTAACACCATTGTCCATGCTTTACAGAAATAATCTCTAATGGCAGGTGATCTTACCATAATTTTAATTTTTTCTATTACATATTAATCCAGACATCAACGAATGCGAGCTTCCCAACCGGTGTTTTGAACCCAACATATGTATGAATGTTAATGGGGGTTATGGATGCTCCCCCCCACCGAAGAGCAACTCGCAGGTTAACGTCATCTTTATAGGTATGCCCCTGCACTACAAAGTCTACACCCTCTGATATAATAATGCATAATCTAGAATTGCTAAGATGAATAAATTAATGGAAGAGCAACCATATAACAATTCCCAGAAGCATAATGAAACTCAACATAATCCAGAGATTGAGATCTTAGCATCTCCTCCACTAGTTCTCCTTCAGAAAAAAAAAAAAAAAAGTTAAATAGTTTTGGTTATATATGTAATAGCAAACAATATCTACTTGACCAAGTTATCCTTTCTTATTTTGTTGAGTTGTTCAGGTATCGGCAGCGGTCTTGGATTCTTGTTTCTGCTCATTGCTTCCTGGTGGTTGTACAAAGTCATAAAGAAAAGAAAAGCCATTAAACAGAAGGCGAAGTTATTTAAACAAAATGGTGGTTTACTGCTGGAGCAACAATTGTCTTCTGGTGAAGTAAATGTTGAGAAGATTAAGTTGTTCAATTCAAAGGAGTTAGAGACAGCCACAGACCATTTTAATGTAGATAGAATTCTTGGCCAGGGAGGCCAAGGTACCGTTTACAAAGGAATGTTGACGGATGGAAGAATTGTTGCTGTAAAGAAGTCTAAAGTAGTTGATGGAGGTGAAGTTGCACAGTTCATTAATGAAATTGTCATTCTTTCACAAATTAACCACAGGAATGTGGTTAAGCTCATGGGTTGCTGCTTGGAGACCGAAGTTCCTCTTTTGGTTTATGAATTCATTCCCAAAGGGACTATCTACCAGTACCTCCATCAACAAAATGAGGAGTTTCAACTTACATGGAAAATGCGCTTAAGGATTGCGGCAGAAGTTGCAGGGGCTCTTTCGTACTTACACTCAGCAGCTGGTTTTCCAATTTACCACAGGGACATCAAGTCTACAAACATACTCTTAGATGAAGAGTACAGAGCAAAAGTTGCAGATTTTGGGACTTCAAGATCAGTTTCCATTGATCAAACACACCTTACCACAATAGTACATGGAACATTCGGTTACTTGGACCCGGAGTACTTCCAATCTAGTCAATTTACAGATAAGAGCGATGTGTATAGCTTTGGAGTTGTTCTTGTTGAGCTCTTGACTGGAGAAAAGCCGGTTTCTTTAGCAAGGTCACCAGAAGTCAGAGGCCTAGTTGCATATTTCAATTTTTCAATGGAGGAGAACCGTCTGTTTGATATTGTTGATGCTCAAGTTAAGGTGGAGGGTATAACGGAAGACGTTTTGGCAGTTGCTACCCTTGCAAAGAGATGCTTGGATTTAAGTGGAAGGAGACGACCTACGATGAAAGAAGTGGCAATGGAGTTGGAGTGGATTCAAAAATCAGTTAAGGCTTCTAAACTGCAACAAAATCAGGAAGAGGTTGAATATGTCCGAAATGAAGTAACTGGTGACTGTCCTTGGGATGTTGCATCTGAATCAACAGGATCAGGTTTCGATGGTGGTACTGCTTCATCAAAAGATTCATTGCCACTACTACCTTACTAATCACGAGGAACAAGAATCTTCCATTCAATCGGTGCATTAACAATCTTCACTTTTAGGTTCCCCGTGTATTTTTTGAAACAACAATTTATCTGTAGATTTTCTTTTTTTTATTTATTATTTTGTTCAATGTTTTTATGTCCCTTGGGGGGTAATACTATTGATGTGTTCTATTGTCCACTTCTCTGTGGTTTCTATTTGCTGTGTAATTAATTTCCACCACCTACTTTTGTTGAATAAATCTGTTTACTTATCTAAAGAAGGTTGATACCAGCTTTTCACTTGGCCTTCGAAAAAAAAATTTACCTTTTTACTTTGACTTCGAATGAAAAGGTCAAAGGGCACTGGCTAGGGAAATAATTTTCACCGTGTGAATAGTCTGGTAACACTTCCGCGAGACACAAGTTTGTTATTACAGTAATATAGTCACATAGAAAAAGGATTTTCAGCGGTTTTATTCCCTGAATTACGACTCTAATCGAACTTAACATTCTGAACTAACTTTTCAGTCAATTTAGCATCCGGACTTATTTAAATAGCCAATTTAGCCCTTACCTTCAACTTTTTCGAATTCCATCTACTATTCCGTTTAAAAAATCACATGTTTGGCACATGACGTACTATTTTATTTTTTTTAAATAAATTATTAAAAAGTTAATTATTTCCCCACTCCCATTTTGACTACTTACACACATTTTTCAGTTATAAAATGGAGTAGGGAAATCACCACTCTACTTTTTAATCTATTTTATTTTATTTTTTCTCTCTCTTTCCTATTCTACCCTTACCCTATTCTCTATGTTTCTCTCTCTGTTTCGATAGTGAGCCAACAGTCCCATTCTCCGCATATTTAAATTTGTGGACCTTGGCCGACATGCCTGCTCCATCCACCACACCACCATGACCACCTCCACCTCTAAAGTCACCGTTCGACTGGTTCCTCCTCAAATCGTTAGATGATTTCAAACCATCGTCCCAACCCCTATACTTCCCGGAATTCCGACCCCTGCTGCC